CCCCCTCTGGTTCTCTACCCCGTTCCCCCTCGATCCGTCTCCCCCCCCACCGCTCTGTATCCTGTGGCCCTCTCCCTGCCTCAGAAAGGCGTGGATGGCGAAAATGGGGTGGGGCGGGTGGAGGGGAACGGTGCCCTGACCTGACTCAATGATGAACCGACAAACTTGGAAGTGGGTTTTGGCGTCGAGCTCCGCAGGAACAGCTACGGATGTCTCCTTCCCCTCAGCGATGAGAGACGAGCTCCCCTCCATCTTTGGGTCCATCTCCAGGTCCCTCAGATAAACGAGAGAGACAGAGAGAGAGAGTGAGTGAGGAAGGTTTCTCTAAGATTACACAGGGATCGTGATCCATTGGGTCAACGGGCTGAGGAGGGGCAGACAGAGTTTAATTCGGATAAACGCGAGGCGTTGCTAAAACAAACAAGGGGCAGGACTTATGCAATGAAAAGTAGGGACTTGGGGTGGTGTTGTAGAACAGAGAGACCGAGGGGGGTCTCAGGGACATAATCCTTTGAAGTTAGCGTCACAGGTAGACAGGGTGGGGAAGGAGGCATTTGGCGCGCTTGCCTTCATCGCTCAGACCCTTTGAGTGTAGGAGTTGGGGACATCACGTTGAGGTTGTACAGGGACGTTGGTGAGGCCTCTTCTGGAGCACTGTGTCCAGTTCTGGTCGCCCTGTTATAGGAAGGATATTATTAAACTGGAGAGGGTTCGGGAGAGATTTACCAGGACGTTGCCGGGAATGGAGGGTTTGAGTTATAAGGAGAGGCTGGGGCTTTTTTCCCTGGAGGCTGAGGGGGTGACCTTATAGAGGTTTATAAAACCATGAGGGGCATGGATAGGGTAAATAGCCGAGGTCTTTATCTCCAGGGGTAGGGGAGTCCAAAACTAGAGGGACATAGGTTTGAGGTGAGAGGAGAGAGATTTAAAACAGATATGAGGGGCAATATTTTCACACAGAGGGTGGTCCGTGTGTGGAATGAACGTCCAGAGGAAGCGGTGGACGTGGGGACAGTTACAACGTTTAAAAGGCATTTGGATAAGTACATGGA